GATGAGCACTGACAAGGCTGTTTCACTTGAGCCTTGTGTAATGCGCGTGCGTGCGTTGTGCTCGTTCGGGAGGTGGGGGTGGGGGAAGGCGAACCACTTGCCCGTAAGCTCCGTTGCGTGCGTGCGTGCGCGTCACAAATTCAGTGCACGCATTTGAGTGTGTGTGCGCACAACCCTCTGTTGGTGTTGTACTGTGTGACTAGGTTCATGACCCCCCCACACACACAAGGGGTAGGGTCGGGTAGTTGATCAAACAAATCGATCGAGGATTATTCAACTTTACTGCTCTATGACTTAAGTAGGTGCACACATTGCTAGAATAAACTCGCTATATTTTACTTTTCAATGGGAAAGCAAACGCACATAATTAACTTTTTGTTGTAAAAATGTATTTTCTTTATACTGAAAAGAAATTCAAAGAATTCATTCAGAAGAGTTGTTGGTGTAACGCATAGAATCGAACGTTTGACTTACCCGAGGAGAACAGACATAACAAACCACCGTTGGCGGACATGCTGCCACGCACAATGGTCTCCGTTTCCTCGGCACTGACATTGGCATTGTTCTCTTGGGAAGATGAAACACGACCGATTGAGCTACGATCCAATGACAATTCGTGGTACAGACCTGAGGGTGGTCGGGAGTGCATCTCATAGGCTGCAACTTCCGGCTCGTTGGTATCCGCATTGTAACCGGTCCCGGGGACCGGGATGAGACCGACTTGCCCGGTCACGCCCAGCGACCCGTTACTACTGCTTCCACCCCCGTTTCCCGATCCGATAGCTGTTGTGGCAGTATTTGCAGGTGATTGGCCAGACGAGCTACCGGTTGATACAGGAGTCAAAATAGCGCCGTTAAATAGGGGTTGAGGTTGAGCCAGGCGTGGCAGACCACCTTCGACATCCCGATTATCGGGTGTTTCGCTGGAGCAGCGGTTTATACATGCATAAAGTGGGGTGAATACTCGCGTTGTGATAGCGTCCAAAAATAAATTGGGGCTAAAACAACTGACGTCACACTTGTATTTAGTCAACCGAATGAGTAACATACCCTAGGAATTGACGTGACATGAGAAACAGTATATCCCCCCACCACCAAAAAGGGGAACTGATCAAATATCAGTCTACTCTTTTTGCCAGCTTCAATTAACTTTGCACTCGAGTGATTTGAGCGCTGCGTGCAGCTGAACGAATGAGAAACTAGCGGGCTCTGGGGAGTTAGGCTCAAGTAGCCGGATTAGATGGTTTTGAAAAAAATCGCTCTATGATCGCCCAGGAGAAGAGTGGATGATAATCTACCGAGTGAAAATGAGTCATGATAAGTTGTGATGTTCAGTTTGTGTGCCATGGGAGACGAGAATTACAAAATATTGGAACTGGTGAACTCTTAAAGCGAAAACCAAATGTGAAGTTCACCTAGGATGAATATCAAATTCTTAAATAGTATGATATAAATTGCCATGAAGTCGAACGCCTCTATGTGAATAAAACATAAATCGGGAAGCATTGATCAAGATCCTCAATAATGAAACGATAAATTGTGTATTCTTCTCGTGCCAATTCTCGTCACAAGATGTTTATAACTCAATAAAGTTGTGAAAACTCAAACATCGTGGGATATTAGGATACGATTGTATTTGTATATAATATTTTTTCCGGAAATGAGGAGTCCAACGAGGACGTTTGAACATCGATCATGTGGATTATGGGGCTCGTTTAGAGTCGCAACTGGGACGCCGGTAAGCTTATAACCACGCCGACAACGCACACGACCGGGAAAGAGACACCCGAATATTGTACATGATTGGTGACTAAAACCACATTCCGATGCACAAATGAATGCGTCAAAATCATGGAGAATAAACTATCTCCCCGGAGAAGAATAATGCATCTAAAAGTAAAACAAACCAAAGTAGTATCTCTTATCTATGAAAGATCATATTTGATTATAGCATTCCCGGCTGTTTGGCATATATATCCGGTACGTTGGTTAGGTTAGAATCTTATTAGGCATCCCTGTAGGTCAAATATTCTTTCTCATCTTAGAACCTCTGCTGGAAAAAAAAATTTTTTAAATCGTTTTTCATTCCACCTTACGTAGCTGATGAAATGTTCACCATCCCAATCTTTTATCTGAGTGAAATCGCTTGACCTAACCAGGCAGAATTGTTTGAAATTGCGTACCTCGCTAACATGTGTCTATAGGGTTTCTAGTCAATGTTGACTATCCGACAAATTCCAACAGATGCTATTTACTTGTTAGAGGAGGGGGGTGGGCGATCTTTTCATCTTGACGAAATGCGCTGTGAGTCACCATGCCGAAATCACGAATAAGATTTGCGATTGAAATATTGTCACTCACAAATTTCCAGCGAAAATTGTGGAACATAATCAGATAAGATATGTATATGCAAACTGTCCAGAGGATTGACTAACCAG